CAGTAAAAAATATATCAAATATTATAAAAGATGAACAGTGAAACTGCCGTCAAGGAAGACAAATTTAGTAATGGGGATAAACTATGAATATATAGGTTGAGTGAAGTGGAGTGGAACTAGTTAAAAGATAAGACAGCTCAGATAATTTTGGAACCAGGGAAACATAAAAAAGATCCTGATTTTGGTAGATGGAAACCAGCTGTTTCATTTGTCCCAAAAATATCCCAGCCTCATGCTCATGGATCCCACTTGCCCAAATTATTTCGAGCATGATATTACATTTTATTTTTAGTTTTTGGTGTATAACCAATAACCATCAAAACTATATATATATATGGTTGTTATTGGTATTGAGATCGGATAGAAAGATGGAAAAAACAAAGTGAAAAAAAAAGAGAAATAGAAAACTATATTCAGAGTAAAGAAATTATTAGTATTACATTGACTAATAAAATTAATTTAAATGTTGTTGATGATGAAACTGAATCTTGTCTCCTTGTTCAAATCAGAATACTTGATGATTCCGGCAAGAATTTTTTGTGTTTAACTTGAAATTCATGTTGACTTTGGATGACCAAGAAAAAAAACCAAAAATACTGTCTCTTTGAAATCCGATGGGAGTAAAAGAAACAAATTATCTTCACTTCTCTCTTTCGATCTAGCACGATAATTTTCTTCTTAACGGCCAAATTTAAACACCCAAATTGTTTACTCCTGGATCCGAGATCCGTTCTTTAAAACCTGTTCTAAATTTAGATAGATTCAAATCAGAATCACAAATATTTTAGTGATGAAAGTGAACCATTTTAAAGGTGAAATAACATAAACCAATTGGCAAAATCCCGAGTGGACAAAAGCCAACACAAATACTCCTACGACGTTGCCCGACTATGGTTGGAAAACAATTGAAATTTCAAAATTATCGATCTGGCTTTATTTGGGAAAAAAAATCCATTCACACAAAAAACTAAGGAAAGAAGGAAGATCACCAAAATAATGTTGTGTGTCAGCCTTTGAGAGGCTATAAAATTCCTTCACCTATAAACCCTAACGCCACCGATTTCTCTTCTCCGTGTTCCCTTCACCGGGAAAGGGATCCACTTCTTTGATTTGTTCTTTTGCGGCATCTGTTTTCGGTGGTTTCAAGATTTGGCTGGTGAGTTTTAGATTTGTACCGTCTCGGTCTTGCGTCTCCGGTTGTTCCTCCGTTTTGCTTTGGGTTCAAATATGAGGTTTAGTGGTGATTCCTGCAGTTAGCTGTCTGAGACAGCTCCTGTGTTGAGCTTTTGGTCTTGGTTCGACATTGGGTGGTGTGCCAAGGTTTTTTCCTGATCTGCTTTTCGACGGATATCGGTATTTTTCCTCTACTTCGCCTCTCTCTACTTCGTTCCTAATTCTAGGTTTCAGTGTGTGCGAGTCCGTATTTGTTGTACTCTTCGCTCTATCTCGAACTCCTCTTCGTCGGTTCTAGGTCGTGGAGAGGGCCTTGTTTCCTTTCCTTCTGGTCTCTCCCTTGGTTGGGTTTAGTTAGGGATCTCCCTCTTTGTTTCTTCTGATTATAGTGGTGGTGGATTATTTGTAGCTGTGAGATGGATGCGGTTAGGTTGTGTTGGTAGGTGGTGTGTTCAGCTTCTTTCTCCTTTGATTTCGCAGGTGGTTTACGTAGAGTCTCGAAACAGTTGAGTCGGATTGGGGTCGGAGGCTTTTGAGCCTTCTATCTCTAATCGTTTTCGGAATAAATCTTCAAGCGGCGACATCAACAACTTTTTCTCAATGATATTGGGTTGAGTATCTTTTGAAGAAGTATTGGAGTTGCTTTGGTTTCTCTGGTTTCATGGTTCTAATTTGGCTTGGGGTTTATTGTTTATTCTTCTTATGCCATCGGTGGAGTTATGGTTTGTCGCAGTGGTTCATGGCTTGTCACCCGCTCTTTGCTAGTCCTGGATTTTCTATTGGTGTGGAAGTTTCTATTAGCTTCGCGTTTCTTTGGTTTTGTATACTTGCCTTAGATTGTGTTAGCTCGTGGTATCAATGACATCTTTGTCTTCTTCATTTATGGTGTGTGTGAGTAGCCTGCCTTCTGTGCATTGTTGTTGCCATGTTTCTTGCTGTTTAGTATGTTCCTTCTCGTTGTGGTTGTGTCTTGCTGTCTTTTTTCCCTTCCCTGTTTTGGGATTTATAGTTGGTTTGTGGTGGTGTGGAGATGCGATCTTGGTATGGCATGTCTCTTGGTGTCTATGCTTTTACTTGTCGTTGGTCTAAGTTCATCGTTTGTTACCACTTGTTTTCCGGTTCCGTTTATGTGCTGCCTTCCTCCAGTTTGTGGCTCGTCCGGATAAGTGTTTGTCTCGCTCCTTGTCTCTACTTCTCGGACGAGTTCGGGGTCTGTCATTTCCAGTTGGTTTCTTCAGTGGCGGGGTTCTCCGTTAGTTTTTTTTCCTGCCGACTTTGGTAAGGTTATCGAAGTGTGAAGCCTAGATCTTAGAATTTGAGGTACTTTGGATTTTTTTATAGGAGGTTTCTAGTTTGGTTTGTCTATGTGGTTGTGATGTTTTTAGACTTGTTTGTTCTAGCTTTAGCTTGTTTCACTTCATTCTCCGGCTTGGTAGACCGTGAGCCTTGTATCTCTTCTCTCCTCGCCTTTCGGCTTATATATATGATCGGATGAGGAAGATCACCGACACCGCCAGCACGAGCGCTAGCCGGTGTTTGTCAAGAGAAAGAAACAGTTTTGTTTTGTCTTTGGAATCGTCCATATTATATGTATAATTTTTTGTTTTTCTTTCCTAAGAACACAATTCATCATTTAATCTGTAAAAGTTAGCATTTAAGAAATAGGCTAGACCACGCCTACATGTTACGACAGCAGAAGATGTATGTGTAAACGGTATAATGAAGTATGAGAGCATCTCAAACCATGACTCTATTGCTTATTTTAAAATAGGGTAATTTTAAATTGGAGTTGAGTTTAACTTCAACCTCACTCTATTTAAAATAGAAATGAAATGATGGAAAAAATGAAGAAATGAATATGATTATTTCATATTTGGAGTAATTAACTTTTTTATTCTAATTTGAAGTTTGGAGGATTTTGTTCCAAACTTATTTTGGAGTGAAAAATGCAATAGGGTTAGAGATTCCCTAAACCGTTTAAATGGTCAAGGTTTTTTATCACTCTAAAACTAATTTTCAATTGAAAATTAAAAATTTATATATATGAAATAGAACTGCTAATTTGGACGATGTCATGTATGTTGGAGCGAGGTTAGAGCGCCACACCTTTGAGACAGGTTGTTCTGGTGAATATCGTCAGACATCTCGAGGAGTGGCGTGCTTTCTCTATTCTTTTCGCTAAGTTCAGAGAGCTGCATGATCGATTTTCTTCTTTTTTTTATCCTTAATTTCTCGTTCATCTTTTAATTTAAAGGCGAACGGTTTGTTCTGCACGTTCTAAAACTTTTTATGTTTCTTATGTCTGTAACTATCCATCTAATTGGATCACCAGTGATGGTGGCATATTTTAATTAAAAGTTAGGTTAAAAAAAATGCTTATCAGTTTCACATCAATAGTATTTTTGTATAAATCCTTAGATTTTATATCATCTTTCGTTGAAGTTTTGAGAAAATAAGTGTAATACTTGTTTTTCTAACATGTACGTACCATACCATTGACTTCACGAAAAATAAATTTAAAGATATATAGACTGAGGAAAAAGAGGCCAATTTTGACACACATTGGAAAGAATTTGGTCAAAATTGGCCCGGAA